CACCCTGTACTTCTGTTGTGAGTTGGCGGCGACCCGGTGCTTTACGAGGCAGTGAACCTGGAGTTTTAGAGACGGCGTCATATGGTCGTTTGGTGATATCACCCCCGGTGACGTCGCCGAAACATCGTGAGAGATTTGCTATCCATGGTATATGCGAGATAAATGACCCATGCAACCCCACACGCCGTATCCTGTGGCACGTAGAAAGAACGTTTCACCAACTCAGTTGATCCTACATACTCACAATGAGAACATCTAGACTTTCCCCTCAGGCGGATAAACCACGGGTCACTAACGATGTCGGAGTGACAGAGCACGACCACTTCCTTCACGCGCGCGTGCTCTCCCTGTGGCGAGTGTTGACAGGGCGATGACAACATGGCCTCACGGCTTTGTTGCAGACGACGAATGGCCTCGTACTTGTTCGTCGAGCTGGTACCACGTAAGATATGCGAGGCCGGCGCTGAGCGGACTGGTTGGGAAAGACACTCGGGTGTCGCGGTCAAACATATCGGGCTCTGCCGCATATGCTGTTGAGACAGTGATGCAGACATGACCAGATGAATTCAGTGAGCTTGCGAAACTTGACGTAATTCGCGAGTCAATAATCTTCCATCTGTGCAACATGCTGCTTGGGATTTTCGCCGGTCTCGTCGGTTCCAGAGATGATGGCCGTGTCAAGTGGAAGACCACTGCCTCCGATAGACCGTTGCATTCAGCTAGACGCCAACATTGTGTGGACAGCGGATATGGAATGCAGATGCCTCGTTACACGCAATGCGAAAGTAACGCGGCATGGAAGTTAGGCTGAGGAAACGGAGACCTGTGAAGATCGTACCGCAAAAGTTACGGGTTGAAAGACTCCCGACGCCGGCCACGATTTCACCATCTGCGAGCACAGAGCTACAGTAAAGTTGCCGATGTCGATGTCAACATGAGCTTGAGAAGAGATGGATCGTAGGGCCCAAAACCACGGAACTGATCGGATCGAATATGCAGTCAGCCGTCAAGCCTACACCAAGCCACCCGCTCAACATCGGAATACTTCCTGCTTCCCAATGACGGCAACAGAGACATAGAGCAGCCTAGGTCCGTTGGAGCAGATGCAACCCTAATTGGAACTTCTGACCCGAGACCACTATGCAGACCTTTCGAGTCATCAGAGTATATCGTCTCTGCCAAGATGATGTCCCGTCCCGTTGGAGGTGGACTGACATCTAGCCGGAAAGCTCAAACCGGCATCCAAGGCAATGAAATGTGCACGCATGGGCTGATTTGGTTGTGGAGCAGGTAGCCAAGGAGCAGTTGCCAGTGGACGAAGAGGGCTGCATATCAGGATGTGTTACACGAGCAGAGAAGCGTCGAGTCCAGGCCAGCCAATGCCACGGAGCAGCCGATGCATGGATTGGGGTAGTAATTGCTATCGGCACCCAAGAGAAGGTTGTATTTGTGGCGGGGCTTTGGGAAGAGGAGCCTGTGTCTTGGAGAACAGGCAAAACCCTAAAACCTAAACATCTGGTGGCCGGGTTGACCGGCTCGAGAAACAACATCTGAGGAGCTGGGCCTGTCCAGACAGGCCTGTTCTTTGCTCAAGACAACAAGTGGCGCAAGACGAGTGACATGGAATGTCGGCTCGAATTCGGCGAGCCGCCAACGACTCCTTGGATAGGCCTCTTAGGAAAGGTTAGGAACGATCGGATGTTGTGTCGGGATCCCCTTTGGAGTCGAACTCGGCCTCGACCGTGTTGGGCCTTACCGCTTGACTTGTGAGAAGAAGCACACTCGAAGCCATTGCTTGTACTTCTTGTGTTTACTACCTGCTGTACATGTCTCGCACACGTGCCAAGACTCGGGTTTCGAAATTGCCGGCTGATTGGCCCACGAGGCTGTCGATCTCTTGGGTTGCTTAGGTTAAGATTGAGTTCAACGAGATTGCTGTAAGGCTCGATACAGCTCGTCATCCTCTGATATCGTGTCCTGCTCGAAAGGGGCGAGACACATTTCAGACGAGATGGAGGGATTCGTTGTCCCCCTAATTGAACATCATTTGTCGGAGGGCATGGCTGGATGTCAGCAGTCGACAAAATTTCATGTCTCGTGCGCGCAGCTCTCCTCGGCTCCAATCGGCATGCTTTGTGATTTCGGACATGGCCCGTCGAGCTGTCAGGCTGCGCCCACGGCAAGATTATCTGATGCCTCAGGTGAGATGTGACAGAGATCACGACTCACAAGATGAGCGGAGATGACGTCGGACTGTTTCTCGGAGTTGAGAAGAACAAGATGCCGATCCCTCACATAACTCCCTCGAAAAGCCACTCGACATGATTTGTGTTAGCCCAGAGGGCGAGGGTGTTCGCACGAGCACACTTCGTCCCGATGGCTTTGTTTTGTGGAGGAGAGGCAACGGCGGTAGGCTGAGGGGCTGGGAAATGTTTAGAGGGGCCCTGGCAAAGGTTGGTGGGGGTGGCAGCGCCCTACTTATCCTGAGTTAACCCCCTTGGGTATGTACGTGCTTTGGGGGCCCTGGGGGGTGGAGGGGGGGGGGGGGGTGCGCGTTCAACAATCGAATGCTCTGTGCGCCCGACAGACCGACAAAAGAGCTGAAGCCAGACAGGTGTGCCCTGGAAACTAGCTGTGGGCGTGCGGATGGCTCGTGAGGTCGTTGCAGGTGCGTTACTCGATGGCCTGCGAGGGTGACCCCTGTCAAATCTGGTTGGTTGCTTCCTGGCTTTGCCTCGAGGAGCCACCTTCTTCACTGCCTCAGTGTCACGACCTGAGAGGCGCAGAGCTGCAGAGAGGGATCCAAGTATTTCTAGTACCTGGGTAGGGACTCGTTAGTGGTGCAGCGATGCAGGATCACACCCCTCTTCAGTCTCGCCCCGGCTCGACGACCGCATGGCACAAGGGGGGGGGGGGATTAGAGGGGCACCTAGGTACGCTGCCGCGCCTGGGTGGAGGTGCGTATCACTGGATGTCGAACCACCCGGACAGGCCGTCTCCGGGTTGTGTTCCCCGTCATGCTGAGATCATCGTACCTCTGCTGAGCGGCCAATGGATGGGGGGTCTCAATGAGCGGCATGTCCGTAGAAATAGTACTTGGAAGCAGATGGGGAGGAGGGCCGCCAGAGGTGCCTGTATGCACTAACATCAATGAGCAATCAAGGATGCGCGTCTGTTGAGTACTGCCATCCACCGTGTGCAATGGAGGTAGGTAAAATGGACCGTCAATTGGCACTGGCAGTTGAACTTTCTT